TATTGACCTATTTATTCCTGAGTAAATAAATATAAATTCTATTTTTATAGAAACTACAGTACAAATTTTATACAAGACATACAGTGTATTGCTTTAATGTTTATTTATATTTGTGTTTTATAAAAGACATATTATTTTATTTTATTTTTTATTTATATTTTATAAAAGGCATATTGTTTGTTTTTATTTTTTTATTTTATATATTTTATAAAAGACCTATTTTTAATTTTGTTTTTGTTTTTTATTTATATTTGTATTCTATCAAAGACATAGGTTATCAAACCAGGGTTCTCAAGGGTGTGAATGCCCTGGCGCCGTGTTCCCGCATGCGTATTACACAGATAAGTGTCAGGGACCAGAGGTCCTGTGTCCCATTCAGAAATTTCCTCTCTAAATGGGAGGAGGAGAGCCAGGGTAGTCCATGGGGGTAAAAACTCAGTGTCTGGTAGCATGTTTTCTGAGTAACAGATTTTACGAAAAGGAGTCAGCTGATGCCTTTTAATAAAATGCATGAGTTGGAAACGGTGCTACGAGACTCCTGAAGTTTTCCTCTCTGAACTTGCTAACCTTCCTTATGGGAATGCACATTTGATTGCTTGATTTAAAAGGCTTATATGACCCCCCATCTTGGAAGACACAACTCTGGGCGGCCAACAGCGATAGTAAAAACACAACAATAAAACAATTTAACAAACAAACAAGGAAAACCCGGTGCCCAGTCAACAACATCTATCCAATTATACAGTCCCCTGGACTCCAACATTATTTAGCCTTTTAACAAGGCATCCTTAAGAGGCAAAAACAAAAAACAGGGACACAAATGATTCCTTAAAATAGGGACTAAAGGCCACTTTCTTTTACAAAAAGAGTCCAGCATGTTGCAAACCAGAAGTATCCTGGCCCAACTGCTTTCTGAATGGTATTTGTGAAGGGCTTGTATGTGATGGGGAGGGTTGACCCTAATGAATGACTATGTGTCAGTGTTGACTGTTAGTGACCACATAAAGATTTTCTCCATGATGATCTATCCTTAATCTGGTCCTTCTCTACCAACAGTGCACCCATTGGCACCGTAACTGAGCCCATACACCTTGCTGCTGGTTCTCTTCTCTTTCCTTCCACTTTTCCTAGCATTATAGACTTCTCCAAAGAGCTGGGTCTTTGCATTATGCCTCCAAGATAGATAGATAGCTGTATTGTCACTTGGAGGTTGCACGGATAGACCTTTTTCATGATGATCTGTCTCCACCTGGCCTTTTAGGTGTTCCCATTGGTGCTGTAACTGAGTCCATACCCCTTGCTGCTGGTTGTCTTCTTCTTCACTTTCCTTCCACCTTTCCCAGTCCTCTTCTTCTCTTTCCTTCCACCTTTCCCAGCATTAGAGCCTTCTCCAGAGAGCTAGGTCTTTGCATAATGTGTCTGAAGTAGGATAATTTGAGCCTGATTGACCCTGTTATGTATGTATTAATGCTTACATGCTTCATTCAGGTTTAGATGCAGCAGGGATGCCTTTGGATCCCAGTCACTCTAGCACAGTTCCAGAGGAGGACTTTTTTTGTGCTTGTGGACTTCCCACTGAGCCATACAAGTGATCATCTTAGAAAAGGGAATGCCAGATCACAAATGCCTTTGATCTGATTCAACTTGAAAAGGCCCTGAGACCCTAGATGATCATGACTTGGGGACTAGTATTTTCCAAAAAAGATACAGCTCATAAGCCAGTCCCATTGAAATTCTTTGTATAAATCTGCCTTCCCATGGTAGTGATGGTGGATCACATACATGCAAGGAACTTGGTCAGTAATATATGTGAAATGATAGGTAGGTGATAGAGACTGAAAAGTTACTCATCTAGTCCTGAGAGTTTTTACCTCATGGACATCTGAGTAATCTAATGCCTGATCTGCTGGTGATCCCACCAAAGATTGCTGTTAGGTGCTCCCACTGTTGACTACATTGGGAGGCTGCATTGGGAGCATTGGAGTGGATTAAAGCCTTCCCTCTCTCTGAGTAAATTTGATCAAGACTAGAGTCTGTAATGTTTGTCCCCAGTTCTCCAGCTGATGACTAATCAGGAAATTGATGAGAGACATGGGTTGTGGTCAGGCTTCTCCAATTTCAATTTCCAGAATTCTCAGTGATGGCCATGCTGCTTAAGGAATTTTGGGAGTTGAAGTCCACACATCTGGAGGGTACTCATATTGGGAAAGGCTGCTGGTTTGTTTTATCCTCATTAAAGTTGTTTGCAGGGATGGTCTACAGTGTCAAGACAGTGTCAGTGGGCAATGAACTTCCCCCCTTTTCCATGTGTGTAATGCAGGCAACACATATTTCAAAGGGGCAAAGCTTTGATTGGTTGCACCTGTTATCTTGACCTGTTGATTGCAGAAGCCCCTGGTCCTCATATAGCCTGCATATTTGTTGTCTCCTGTGGGCCTCAGTGATGCCCATAGAGGTAAACACTATTCCTCAAAGAGAAGTTATCTACTGAATACTCCTTTAACCTGCAACCCAACCCTTTCATCCCAATAGATGAAGCCATACCTATGGACACTGAGAGATTGTCCTCCTCCAGAGGGTATCTCTTGTCTCCCAAGGATAAGCAGTTTGCTACACAGAGACTGGCAGGTGGGGATACCTGATATATAGGAATACATTGGAGTCCAAATTACTTTGGAATTATTTGTGACTCGTGGATCTCACTAAGAAAGGATTTTTACTGCTGCTACTGCCGTCATCCAATGTTTTGCTTAATATTGACAGGTTTTTATTCACAATCCTCATGGACGTGGCCAGCGCATTAATACAAACCGCTTGGTACTTAGTACCCAGGATGCAGATATTTCTTTGCTGAACATCAATGAGGCCATCAGTTGTTTGACTGCAGGGATGCTGAACCCTGATCTTGGCTGTGATTCCCTCCTGGTTGGCACACGGACCAGTTTGTTGGCATATGACGTATACAACAATGCTGACTTGTTTTATACCGGGGTACGTCATTTTTCTTGTTTTTCCCCATGAGTGCACCTCAACAACTGAATTTTTAAACTAATGTTACAGAGCTCGAATACACCTTAATTGAATTTTTCCTTAAACTTTCCTTCTTTCCATCCCACATAATTTGTATAGGGGAATACTCTGATGTTTTGCAGAAGATGTGGACACTTCATAGAGGTTTCCACCACTCTTTACTAATGAAATGACTTCTGGATGGTGCCATTTGAGCCAATGAAGTATTAGCACAGTTTCATTGTCTCAAACAAAGTTCATCCTGAAGTCCTTACACCAATGTGGGGACACATTTCTACATGTGGACTTTGTTCTTGGAAGCCACCTTCTGAAATGAGAACACATCTTCGCCTAAAACATTCCTCATTGCTCACTCTAGAAAAACGACGAGTCATGGCCAACTAATTCAAAGAAGATATCCAGTATTATTGGTTGTCCTACTGAGAAACTTGTGAGAAGCTTCAGAATATTGTAGTTTCTCTCCTTCAGAATATAAAACTCTCTGGAGTCCTTAGTGCTCTCTGAGCTTGGTTGTTTGCTTACAGACATTTTATTACCCAACTAGGTAACATCATCAATGAAAGTGAGTGTGGATTTGCTGCCTGTTTATATGCAGTAGCTTATCCTGCCAGTTTTGGTTGGGGTGTGGTTTTCTCCTTGATAGGTCCTTATTAGGGTATTATTTTCTGCTTGATTGTTTGCCTGGTGTTAATTTCTGCTTATTTGGGTGTGGGCTGTTGGAGAGGCTGTGTTCTGGTCTTTTTGTTTCCTTCTTCACTTTTATACTGTTTCTTTTGAATGGTGTGTAAATATGGTTTATTTCTTTGTGTCTGTTGATTTGTCTGAATGCCAAGCTTCCAGGAATTCCCTAGTGTTTTTGGATTTAGCTTGGTCTGGCAGGGTGAGCTGCTGTATATAAACAGGGAGAAAACCCCACACTCACTTGCACTGATGATGTTACCTAGTTGGGTCATGAAATGTCTGCAAGCAAACCACCAAGCTCAGAGAGCACCAAGTATTCCACAGTTCAACCCTGAACTACAGATATTTTCTTCTATTGGATAAAACTCTCTCTCCTGTGACACCAGCCTGCGTTGCAGGCAATGCAAGATTGGGTCCATTGCTCGTTCAGTGGCTGGATATTGTTATGAATTGGCAATTAGATTTTTGGATCAGAATTAGAGACTTCATCATGGCTCCTTTGCCTGCTTGGAGATGCCCAATTAATAGCATGAAACTCCTTGTGAACTAATTTTAGTTTTTTTAGCCATGTGAAATAGCTTTTGAGAGTTATTGGAGAACTAAGGGAAGGACTGACATCCTGATTACAATGTTTTATAGCTCTGTCTGTAATGTACTTAGAAATGTAAGCTTTGCAAATAGAACACACATTTCCCTTGACTCAATAATATCCCTCCCCAAACATAACATGGCAATACCTGCATTTTCAACTACTGCATTCTTAATAATACAGAGATCAGGAATGATGCTGCATTTACCCAGTGAAAAGTCCATGAGAGTTTTTCTATAGTTTTTTGGGGAGGCAGGTTCTATGGCTGTCTTCTTGGCTTAAGCAATTCATTGTCTTTCTGGTGTTAAAGTAGGAAACAGCTAATATGAATGTTAAAGACCCTAAAGATTCAGCTTTTATTATACCTGGTTAACTGTAATCTAGATGCTATTATTTTCTTTGAAATTGATTATTGCCTTATTCTAGATGAACGTTTTATCTGTGTTTGAAATAACTACCAGTATATCTTTTACATGTACTAATTAATTATGTCTGGGACAGCCTAATATTACTTTTAGGAACAAAATCTGAAGTGGAATGGTACAATCCCAAGTTTTTATGATACATATTTTCTATCCTGAAAGGTGTTCCAAATAACTTTGGTTGGAATCAGGGAAGTTAGGATTTGTTTTTATCTTTTCAATGTATAATTTAATGTTAGGTATCCACCAGCTGGCTTGGCATCGTTAGTAGAGGACAACTTTAAATCAACTTGGAATAAGTCACCAGAAGACTTTTTGTCTGAGCTTGTTTTTGCTTTGGGCTTTGCATTGCTCAGAGTCATTAAACATTTGATCCAGGATTGTATCTTCAAAGGGACAACAGCTAATTTTCTAGTCCCTTGTATGAAAGAAGCATTAATGATAGTTTTGTTCCTGCCAATTTCCTCTCCCATATTACAGTGGCAAAATACTGTTGAGCTTTTATTTTGGTCTGATTAAATGCCTTACCATCAGCCTTGCTAATAGACAATTATCAAACTTTTGGCCAGTTGGTGTAAGATAGTAAAGGTGGAAATGATACGTTACATTATTTTCCCATGCGTATTTTTACAACATTTTTGCCTTTTTAAAGAAACCTTCTAGGCAGGGAAATAGAATGTTACACATTTAACTGTCTTTGTGTAAGCAATAAGAAATTATATACTAGATAGTAGGGTTTGGAAAGGTGAATGTATTTGTTTATCTGTTACATTATGTTATGTTTATTTTTAAAAATAGCCTCTGAAATGTTCTGCTCTAGTAATTGTGGAGAAACATCTGAATGCTCCAGTTTATCTCACACTTTTTTTTTTGGTACATTTATTTGCACATAAATAATTACTTGATTTCTTTGTTGTCTCCCTGTAGGTTCCTGATGGAGCAAACTCTATAGTCCTAGGAACATTGGGAGACATTTCCTCCCCCCTTGCAATTATTGGCGGAAACTGTTCCCTGCAGGGCTTTAATTATGAAGGAAAAGATCTGTTCTGGACGGTGAGAGTGTATATATTATAGGCTACTTTTGGTACCTATGATTTTATTTGTCTTCATAACAAAATCTGTAATTATTTCAGTTTTATAAATGGAGCTCACTGATCATTTCAAGATTACACATGGAGTGCTGTGGCTAAAATAACTTGCCAAGGCTTGTGGGATTTTATAGCCAGGCATGTGGGGGGCGGGGGGGGGGCAGTTGCTTTGATAGTCCTTTTTCATCCAGGGTTCCTGATCTTTGGAGTCTTAGTCTTGTGAAGGCGGTTTTGCTCAGAGCTTTCTCTGCAGAGCAAGGACAGGAGAGATGGGGAGAGAGATCTCAAAGATACAGTGAGAGGTTCAATGTTATATGAGTCATTAGACTTTTTCTGAATGAATTGCATCTTCAAAAGGACACAGATATAGTGATTCCTTGTATTCCTCAAAGATAGTGGTCTTGCAGTAGTCAATTTTTTTAGCTGCCAGAGGACATATACACACAAAATAATGGGCCCAGGCCACAATGGGATAGAGCAGGAATGTAATCAAATTAAGACTTTCAGCCTATGTTTAAGATGTTGTTTTCTCTTCAGTCCCACTGAGGTTTAATACATGAAAAATCTGATGCCAAAAGAGACCTCTGGCAGTTTGTCAAAAAAGATGCTTGGAAGCTAAGCCTGGTTACTCTTACTGTGTCACGCGGTGCTTCTTTCTGAATTTTTTTCCTAGTCAAAGCGTGCTCTGATCTACTAGTCCTAGGATATCCAGGGATGGGGTTCATAGCATACTAGGCCAGGCTAGATCTATTAGAACTTTTATTAAGAGATATAAAAAGTACAAATCAAATACAAATCAAAAAGAATAAAAAAGAAAAGAAAGAAGATAGAACTAAAAGAAAAAGAAAAAAACTAAAATAGTGAGAATAGGTAGAAATATGAAACGGAAAATGACTTCCGACTATCTCCAATACAGATATGAGTACAAATTTGAAAAAAGTTAATCTCTTACCGCTAATTAGTCCAAATTCACATTATTT